ATATTTAGGTATTTAGCTAAATACCTAAATATTTAAGTTTCAAGCTAAATATCTCAAAACTAAATATTTAAGTCACAAGCTAAATACTTATCTTGTTAACTAAATATTTAATTTGTAAGTTAAATATTTAGTTTATAAACTATGACATTTATAAAAGTATGAATCATACGGTGAAAAACTGACTGAAAAATAAATCTGTTCTTTTTTTTCTTATAAAAAGCTAAATAAAACAAAAATATTGGTGGTAATTTTTGACTGTAACTTTACAAACAGCAGCCCATGCATTGGCCTGATAAACTTTTAAGATTGTTTTACCTTTACCTTTCAGGTGAATGAAGAAGACCTTCTGCCCTCAGAAATAATGTTCACAGTGAAAACGCCTCCCCGGCTCGGTCATGTGGTCATGCTGAAAAACAGTTCAGATGACACGGCGTCGCCTGTCCTCGACTACATTCACTCCTTTTCTCAGGAGGACATTGATCAGGAACACATCCTTTATGTGTCTTCATCTATTCAGGTTTATGGCCTTTTATTTTATTCTACTGCCTTGATGTGGCAGCTTATTTCTTTTTATAATCAAACTGAGGATAAAGGCAGGTAAAAAAAAAACTGCCTGTAAAGACTTACTAGTGAATATTATTGATGTCAACATGTTTCTTTTTCAGGGCTATGACTCCTTCACAGTGGATGTCAGTAATGGTTATAACACACTGGAGGACCTGCACATCGACGTGAACATCGTGCCCCGCTTTATTCCCATCCAGGCTTTCAACTTTTCAGTGAAAGAAGGTCTAAGCAGAGCAATAAATGAAGAGATTGTCAACATCTCGCATCCTTTCTACAGCTTAGCAAACATCGACTTCTCTGTGGACGAGCCGCCACGACACGGTGAACTCCGCAACCTGAATGGGGACGAAGTCACTTACTTTCCCTGGGACGAGGTATGTTGGCTTTGTGTATGTGGTGATACTGTATTCTTTTGTTCTTGACTTTTTCTTTATGTGTGGGCGGGATTATGGCAGGGGCGGCTGTGGCAGAGGGGTTAGGGGGGTTGTCCTGGAATAGGAAGATCACCGGTTCAATCCCCGTCCAGTTGTCTCAGTTATTGTGTCCTTGGGCAAGATACTTAGCTCCTAATGCCTCTGATGTGTCCCATCAGTGTATGAATGTGATTGGCACTGATTAGTCTCAACAATGCCAAAGATTTTTCAGGTGGCTGTGCAATGGCAAATGGTAAATGGTAAATGGACTGTACTTATATAGCACCTTTTTATACAACCAGGTCACTCCAAGCTCTTCACACTACAATCTGTGTCCTCATTTACACATTCACACAGCACTCTAATAGGTCTCTACAAAGTGAACAAGTAGAAACACAACACAGCAATGGGTGAGTGAAATAAAGTCACAAAACACTCCATCCTTTATGGTTTCTGAAAATGCCACGGCCAAGTCGAGGCCACTCTAACTTTTCTGGCTGGAGCCCTCTATCTCCATCTGAGTTTTGTTGGCAGTCATCAAGCACAGAAACATCTGCACCTCTTCAAAGCATCACAGTGTTGGTTTATGTCTTGTCATTTTAATAAATGTGCTATATATTTAAAAATAAATAAAAACATATGCTGTGGTCGCAGGGTTTTAAAAATGATGGGTTTAATTCTTGTGAAAGAGGTCGTCTCATGATTGACATCTCTCTCTGGCCAATCAGTGGCCTGCAGTCTGCTGACATCAAATCTTCAGCTCAACTCAGCTTGCCTATATGCCATGGACATCCGGTCCAGCACTGGATGCCACTCCCAACACTTACGGTTCGCTGTCAACACAATGTTAGCGAAAGATTTTTTCACCCGACAACGACTCTTAATGATCTCCACTGTACAGAATTATCATATTACATGTACCAACATTAACACAGGAGACGTACAGGTCCAGCCATCCATCCATCCATTTTCTGTACACGCTTCTTCCTTTTCAGGGTTGCGTGGGTCACAGGTGCCCATATCCAGCAGTCACAGTGCGAGGGGCGGGGTACACCCTGGACAGGTCTCCAGTCCATCACAGGGACACACAAAGAGACAAACGAGACAAACAACCATTCACTCTCTCACTCACACCTAGGGACAATTTAGAGTTATCAATTAACCTAACAGTCATGTTTTTGGTCTGTGGGAGGAATCCTGAGAAAATCCATGCATGCACAGAGAGAATATACAAACTCTACCCAGAAAATTCCCCAGGCTGGGATTGGATTTGCAGTGTTTCCCCTATCATTATAGAAAGGGGGCGCCC